TGGGACAAAGCAAACGATACCATCGGAGTAAGTTTTCCACAAAAAAAGCTGATCCCAGCAAGCGGGGAATCTTAAGCAAAGTGGCACGGATCTATGACCCACTGGGATTGGCCTCTCCTATCTCATTAGGCGGTAAGCTCCTCTACCGTGACGTGTGTGATGCCAAGCTAAACTGGGATTCAAAGCTACCAGGCGATATGATGCAGAGTTGGATACGATGGGAGAAGCGACTTCCCGAGCAGCTTACAGTTCCGAGATCTTTAGCAGCCCATCAAGAGGACATTCAGTCAATAGAGTTGCACGCATTTGGTGATGCCAGTGGGAAGGGCGTGGCCGCGGCTGTGTATGCTGTAGTCAATCAAGAGTCGGGCTCAAATCAAGGGCTCGTGGCAGCGAGAGCGAGACTCTCCAAAAGGGACTGACGATCCCTCGGCTAGAGTTGGTGTCCGGACATATGGCAGTGAATCTCTTGGTAAACGTGGCCTCCGCCCTGGACGGATTTCCCCTTACCGAAAAGTACTGCTGGCTCGATAGCACCGTTGCCCTGCACTGGATCAGATCCCCAGGCACATATAAGCAGTTTGTGAGTAACAGAGTCGAGAAAATACAAGCACATTCAGGCGTGACTTGGCGGCACGTAGGGACCTTGGAGAACCCTGCTGACCTTGGAAGCCGTGGTGGAGAAGTGAAAAACCATCCCTCTTGGAGCAACGGGCCGAAGTGGTTGAAGAACAAAGCGATCTGGCCTCCAGACATTGTGACTAAGGCATCAGAGGAATCAATGGCAGAAGTGAAAGCAACAAGAGATGTTTTTGCTGTGGCGATAGCAACTACAGATGAGCTAGACAACCTTCTTGAGAAGTTTACCTACTGGAGGACAATGAGAATCTGTGCGTGGATAATGCGGTTCGTTCACAACGCTCGTTCAGAGAAGATACAAAGACACGAAGGACCGCTGACAACTGAAGAAACTAACAAAGCGACAATCTTCTGGGTGAAAAGAGTCCAGACCAGAGCCACAGCAGACAAGCATTACGAAGAAGATCGGTTACAACTGAATCTGCAACCTAACCAAGACGGCGTGTTAGAATGTCGAGGCCGAATACAAGGGCATTATCCGGTGTATTTGCCCGAGAGTCAGCGCTTCACAGAGAAGCTCGTAACACAAGTACACCTTGGGACGCTCCACGGGGGAGTCGTCAGTACCATGGCAAAGGTACGAGAGCTGTACTGGGTTCCGCGCCTTAGAAGATTGACAAAAGGAATCGTGAAGAGTTGCCACGGCTGTCGGCGGTTTCAAGCCCAAGCGTTCTCGTCCCCACCCCAAGGCGACCTGCCAAAGGATCGGACAGAAGGTTCTTCACCCTTTCAAGTTGTTGGAGTGGATTACGCGGGACCCATTAAGTATCGTATAAGCAAGAACAGAGAGGGCAAGGCGTACATCGTTCTGTACGCTTGCAGCCTGACCCGCGCCGTGTACCTCGAGCCGACCAAAACCTTGGAGACGGAAGAGTTTATCGGAACTCTCAAGCGTCTCATCGCCAGGAAAGGTCGCCCGGAGAAGATATACTCCGACAACGGGAAAACATTTGTGGGAGCAGCAAAATGGCTGAACAAGGTGATGAAGGATGAACGTCTACACGACTTCCTTGCCAAGATAAACGTGAAGTGGCAATTCAACTTGTCCAGAGCACCCTGGTGGGGTGGACAATTTGAGAGACTGGTGGGACTCGTGAAGCGAGTTTTCTACAAGACAGTGGGAAACGGAACGCTCACCTGGGACGAGCTACAAGACGTCCTGCTTGACGTCGAGGTGACACTCAACAACCGACCGTTGAGCTACCTAGAGGAAGACATTCAGCTACCCATCCTGACCCCGAGCACCTTCCTTTATGGTCAACCGAACATGCTTCCAGAGTTAGAACCTCATCACGTCCAGGAACACGACCTGCGGAAGAGAGCTAAATATTTGAGGAAGTGCAAGGATACACTATGGTCACGCTGGACAAGAGAGTACCTCCGCGGACTGAGAGAGAGACACCGGCTGAAGCACAAGGGAGACACGACCTATCCATCCAAGGGAGAAGTCGTCATCATCAAATCAGAAGAGAAGAATCGAGCACAGTGGAAGTTGGGAGTCGTAGAAGACCTAATCACCGGCCGTGATGGCGTGATTCGTGGGGCAAAGCTGAAAACTGGAAAGTCACGCCTGGAGCGCCCAATACAGCATCTGTACCCTCTAGAGCTGAGTTGTGACATGCCGATGCAGAACCCACCGGAGCCGCTGAATCCAATGGCGCCAATCTACAGGCCGCAAAGGGATGCCGCAGCAGCAGCCAGAGTTCGTATCCAGGATATGAACGAGGACGAACAATGAGCTGAACAATGCATAAATTTAAGAACCCCAGGAACTATGAACATTACGAGTGAACTTTTATATTTTTGAGCATTTCATGCCAGATGGCACATTGATTTTAAAACTCTAATATTTGTTATGTTATGATGCTGCTTGGTCAACAGACTGCAGTTCGAGACTCTTAAATTCAACGACTGATTTTCTATCTGTTGATTAAGTTCTGGACATTTGCTCTCTCGAAGCAAATGGGGGGAGGGTGTCGTAAATCGCGTGTTTACATATGTAATCAAACCTCATATCGCATATAGAATTTGATTGTTAAGTGACCGGAAAGAGATAGGCATCGAATCTGCCAAATCAAAGGAAACATAAAACGAATCGCTTTATCTTTCGTTGAAAAATTATCAGGAGTTGTGTTGTAAAAAAACCGGGGATGCTGTGAGTGAAGAATATATGTTTAAAACCTTACATCGTGAGTGAGTGATTTAGGACCGTTTAGCGCGAGTTTATCGGGACAACAGTGTGTTGCAAGCAAATATCCCATTCCCAACAGCGTGTAAAAATACTAATAAATTAGATACAACTCAAAGGCAGCACTAAATTTCTGCGATCCAAGAACAATATGTTGCTGTCTTAGTAGTCAATCCGCCCTTAAAAGCCTTAGTTTTAAAAGATTTAACGTGTTCCGCCTCCTGCTCTGGATTATCACAAATCCAGCGAGAGTCTAATAGCAATCATGACGCCGGTGTAACACCCCCTAAACCGGAACGCCTTTCCTTAATTCTGGATTTACAAAGCTCATGAACGTGAAGAAATGCGGTTAGGGAAAACAGTGTTTGCTGGAGATTAAACATTTATCCACTCGGATTTCCACTTTTTTTTGGACAAAATCTGTTTCTTATACATTTAGTCACCGTTGATACAAACGTGATCTTTTATGTTTGGCACCATCACTTTAAGGCCACCCATTTACACCGGAAACTGCGTAAAAGACAGGAATACAGTGGAATCCCGATTTTTTAAACCACGGTTTGGGTAAAACAAATTGGTTCGTATTATCGGGAGGTTCAAAAATCGGGGGGTAAAATTATACTTTGTTTGACTGGTGAAAGAGAGGTTTCGTTCGAATTATTGTAAAAGCTGGGATTTCTAAAGAAATCGGGATTCTATTGTCCGTAGGAAAAATTCCTTAGAAGTTCGAATTGAGTATTTTTACCTTGCATAACAATAGTCCATGGCAATGGACTACTTATAATCAAAGCAGGCTTCAACAGATCCCTTTCACTTTGGTGGTTAGCAGCTATGCAAAATCCTTGCAACAAAGAGAGTTTTAATACGTGAAAAAAGAGTTCAACCCACGGGATTTTTTTGGCACACCCTCATGGCCGACATGATGTCATGTGAAAACGATCTATAGCTTCCTGCAAGAAAGAAAGGTGTTTTAGAGGTTCAAAACCTTGAAATTTAATTTGTTCCGCTTCAAGCTACACTTGTTTTTGACTGGTGTCACTATTTTCACTGTTGGCGGGTGGGGCACCTGTACTTTGGATGCCATGGTAACAGCGTGTCGATCAAAACTGTCGAAAGTTAAGTATTTGCCGTCAACATGTGCAACCTTGATACATCAACTGTTTTGCCCGGGGAGGGTATTTCCTTATAAGAGGCTAATGGGAATGTGCCGCTGGATGGGGTCGCATTTTCACGACTGGATTGGCTATAATGGGGTCGCATTTTCAATAGAGTTTACTTGAACGGGGTCGCACATTTTCTGATTTTGGAGGTAAGATATTTCCTCACATTAGCAGTTAGCAAACGCACCAGAATGTTTGTACTGTTGGTATTTTTCATTCATTATAGGTAGATACATAAATAGAACGTGAATAAGTTGGGATCGCAAAAATTACATTTTTGCCCCCGGTGACTGAGATGGGGTCTATAATTACCCACAGAATAGACTATATTGGGAGGGGCTCTAAAAGGCCAGCTGCACATACCCAGGAAAAATTGACCAGAGTAGCCCCCCCCGGGCTGTTTTGCTACTCTTCGATTATGCTCCATGACCAAACTGGCCCAATCAGTCTCTCTTCACTCCACGACGGATTAAGAAAAAAAAGAGACTGCTCGTTAATTTTGTTTAGCCCAATTCAGTCGTTTGGTACTAGTTTCCTTAGTCAGCAGCCTATAACTTAGACAACCGCGAGTTTTTGGCAAACTTTGGCAGTTCTGGGGTTGAAAATAACACGTTGGTTGTCATACTAAACTACGGCTGATCTGACAAAGGAAGAAAAGAAGCAAATTTGGAAAAGCGAAGACACTGAACATTCACCACACCCTGTTATAGGCTGATTACTTGTCTAATGAAGTGTTGGTTAGGTTAGGAGCTAGATCAGCATCATTTGCACAATATTTTACGCGACAGAAACGTGGTAAAGAACGTACAAAACAGTGTAACCTCTCAATTTATTGTTTGTTGTTTTAGTAATTCCAAACAGACATATCGATATTTTCTCTACAAAAGTTCACATTTTTTACTTAGAGGAAGAATTAGAATTCATCAGCGTATTGGTTAAAATCATTGTTATGCCTGAGAAACATGAAGAAAGTGTTATGATCTGAGCTTCTCAGACCACTATAAAACAAAGTACACTAAGTATGCATGTTTTACTCGCTGGCACGCCGCACAAATCCTCCGTGGACGAAAACACATTTTTCGTCAAACGCCAAAATAACATTTTTGGGGGCAAATGGAAAGTATTCCTAGGAGCTATCAAAGAACCAAGTTGCTGGATTCTAGTTTGCTATGATTCGATCTAACATTATTTTTCGTTCTGTAAAACTATTTCTACATCGGTTAGTATACTCTTTGATACTAATGAACTCAGCACTTAGATAATCGTGTGATTTTCAATTGAGTGCCTGCTGCAATTTCACGACCACAATGACATTGGTCGTTGGATCTTCATTGGCAGCCAACCGAGTGTAATGAAAACATAACTGAAGTAGCTTGTTCAACAGGGTCGAAACAGTCGTCATTAGGGGCGCTCAGATGGCCGGAAACTGCTTGAAAACCCCGTTAACACCTGTTGTTCAAGCTAAAACTAAAGCAATTCTTCTGCCAATCATAATGCAAATCGTTTGAGCCTTACAACTGACTGGAGGAACAAGTAGCGCGGGATTTTTACTGCCAAGAAATAAAAACAATGGAGGTGTAATTTCAACCGCCCTCGCAAGTCACTTGAATCAATATTTGGTACTTGAAAATTTCAGGCCTTTAGCACGAACTTGGAATGTAAAGGGAAAAAAACAAGAACTATAAAATTTTCAACTTTAATGTTGCACAGATTTTGTGTCACGCTTACGGCA